AGAAGAAAAAAACTGAAAAACAAGAAGTTAGGTAATTTGTCCAAGAGCACAAATAGTAGACAGAACTAGTATATAATCCAGTCAGCCTGACTCTAGTATCATAGTCAGATCTGAACCCCATCTCTTTAAAAATTTTACAACCTAGGTACCTTGTCTGTCTCACTCTAATTCCAGCTCTAATCCAAACTCCTAACCTCTTAGCTACATTGCTGCACTCAAAGCAAGTAATAAATGACTCATAAAAGCAACTCTGACCACCCATCACCAAACCATGTTCTTACATAATTTTATTTAGCAAAACATCCTGTTTGTTAACAGGATATCAACTGTTAAACTATAAACTGTTAAATCACAGCCTTGGTACCTTCATTCTACTATACACATCACAGGAGATAAAAAGTTTCACATCTCTACCCCTTTTAAGTTCTTATCAAATCAGAGTCCGAGTCTGCTTTCCTATCTTATAAAATACGATGAACCTACTTACTGCTTCCTCACAGTATGCTAGGCTAGAAATTCTGAAGAATTCTCCTATTTTTCACATTTTTATCTAGCTCCTAAAGACTAATTTTTCCTACCAAGAAATGTCAGGGACACACAGCTTTCCCGAAGAGCAAATGAAGTAGAAAGTAGATTATTATTCAATTTATGGTCCAAAATTCTATATACCCAGAGTAAATCAAGTATCTATATATAACTAGAATACATTTGGAGAAGTATTTCTCACCTGGAGGTGATTTTGCCCCCACTCCCCTAGAGAGATTTGGCAATGTCTGGTGACATTTTTGGTCACAACTGAAAGGTGCTACTGGCATCTAGTGGGCAGAAGACAATTATGCTGCTAACATCCTACAATGAAAAGGACAGCCCTGTAACAAACAGTCCAAAATGTCAACAGTGCCAAGGCTGAGAAACCTGAACTAGAAACAGGCAAACTTCTTTCCAACTGAAGAAACTCTTCCTGTTGTTTCATTAAAAACAGGCCATGTTTCACATGATACTTATTGTTTGGATTTGGGTAGGTCTCTGACAGTTTGGAAATCGAGATAATTTTATCATTCACTTTGAAGAGAATTTCTAAACTGTCATTACCATCTAGTCACTTACAAATCCAAAACACATTTTCCATTCAAATATGAATTTACCAACAGACCTATTTTCAATACCTTCTCTATTTCTAATAATCCACACATTAAAAAAAGTAGGCCCATAGTGGTTCAACAAAAACCTTAAGAATTGGGCTAAATTTTTTTGTGTGTATATCATCACTTTTTCTGCATTAACTATGGGACCCTTAAATTACATGGACTCTCATTACATATACTAAATCATAATGTAATTCTCCATGATTTCCTTTGTAGCTTTATGCAGCTTCTGATAAGAATTTGTGAAATGGCCAAAAAAACAAAAAGGACAGAAGGGACTAGAACTAAATTACAATGTCTTTTTGAGTCATAAAGTATAAAATTAATGTTAGTTTTACTAACAAGAACATCTAAACCTGCACAATCCGATATGGTAGTCACTGGCCACATGCAGTGATTTAAATTTAAATTAACCAAAATAAATAAAAATTCTATTCTTCAGTTCCTTTAATTATATTTTAAGTCCATGATAGTCACCTGCAGCTAGTGACACCATATAGAACATAAATATAGAATCTTATGATGGGGATGTGGCTCAGGGGTAGAGCACTTGCCTAGCATGTGTGAGGCATTGGGTTAAATCCCCAGGATCACATAATAAAATAAAATAAAATATATTGTGTCCACCTACAACTAAAATAAATAAATAAATATATAAAACATATATGTGTGTGTGTATGTATACATACATATATACATATACATATATATATATTTCCCATCATTATAGAAAGTTGTATTGGACAGTGCTGGCTGGCTGTTAAATCTAGCACACACTCTGGAAATTCTAAGGAAATCCTAAAGAAATTTAGTGCAGAGAATTAAAATAACAAACTTGGTTTAGCCTAAGAGTTTTATTTTTTATAGTTGGACACAATATTTTTATTTTTATGTGGTGATGAGGATCAAACTTGGCGCCTCACACATGCTAGGTGAGCGCTCTACCACTGAGCCACAACCCCAGCTCCAGTTTAGGCTAAGAGTTTTATTTTTAACTCCTATATAACTGAGCATATTAGAATATACCCCATTTAAAAACAAAAATATCAAACTACTTTGTTCAGTTATTTTCTGGAGCCCCATTTGTTTTTAATCAACTCAGCTAAATATTTACTGAATGCCAATTGCATATGCTAAGCACTGTGGTTGAAGCTGAGGATTCAAAGTCTAAATAAGTCCAAACTTTTGTCATTTAAAACTACCCAGTAAACTAAATATCACCACATGACCTATAGAATATCCACCCATACTTAAAAAGCCAAATATAATAGAAGTGCAAGTAAAGTGCAAGTAAAGATTTTTGGTACCAGGGACTGAACTCAGGGGCACTCATCCACTGAGCCACACTACCAACCAACTCTATTTTGTATTTTATTTAGAGACAGGGTCTCACTGAGTTGTTTAGCACCTTGCTTTTGCTGAGACTGGCTTTGAACTTATGATCCTCCTGCCTCAGCCTCTGGAGCCACTGGGATTACTGGCATGCACCACCACCCCTGGCAAGATATTTGATTTTAAAGAGAACTTTTCTTTTCAATTTCTTGCTTCTATCAGGAATATAGGAAAACAATCAATTCTCCAGATTTTCAATGTAGAAACCAAGAATTGATAACAACCTGGACTGACCACTACACTCTTGACCTAGGATAAATTAGTCATTAGGAATGATTTTCTACAACTTATAAATGTTATAACTTCCACATAAGGTGGCAGAACTACGATGACAACCATTATATGACTATAACATTAAAAGAAAAACATGCCAGCTACACTAACCTGAGATACTTTATGCTTTTTGAATAGTTATACTGTTCTTCCAACTCATATCTCATAGTTGGCATTCTTACGTTTGCATTTTTGGATACTTACTCTTCACTATTCATAAATCTTGTATTTTTCTCAGGGCAAATATTTCCTCATTTCTATTCAAGCTTTTTTCCCCCCTTCCTCACATGGGCGGATTCTTACTGAATATAGAGAAGTTGCTCAGACACTGAAACACACTAAGACATATTTCAACACTACAGTAAAGATATTTGTTTTACTTAATGAGTTACTAACTTTCAGCCTCTACACCTCAGATGAATGAATAAATAAGAGCAAAACAAATCTTCCTATTTGCTTACTGTGATTATATATTTAGACATAGCTTTAAAAGAGCTCAATATTCAATTTATAAACCAGCAATATTAACACTTTTTGATCTCTGGACTCGGTATCTCTTTCAAAAATTAACAAGAACCTCAAAGACCTTTTGTTTGTGTTTTACTTATTAATTTACTTAGAAATAAAATCATCATGGGATGGCACTGTAGTTCAGAGGCAGAGTGCTTGCCCAACGTATGTGAGGCACTCAGTTCAAGCCTTAGCACCACATAAAAATAAATGAATGAATAAATAATTTTTAAAAAGAAATAAAATACATTCACCACATGTTAACACAAATAATATTCTTTCTCAAAATAATCACATTTTCCACATAAAAACTGAGGGTGAGAAATGACTTAAAGAAAAATAGCTGTATTCTCAAATCTGCCTCTACATTTGCTTTGTTTTGGTTAAAGAAGAAAATATGGCCTAAAGTTAAATAGGTGGGATAGGAAAGGTATTTTGAAAAATGTTTTCTTAAAAGTTCAGCAATGTAGGGGAGGGGAGGGGGGATAGTAGAGAATAGGACTGACAGCAGAATACATCAGACACTAGAAAAGCAATATGTCAATCAATGGAAGGGTAACATGTGATACAGCAATCTGTATACGGGGTAAAGTTGGGAGTTCATAACCCACTTGAATCAAACTGTGAAAGATGATGTATTAAGAACTGTGTAATGTTTTGAACGACCAACAATAAAAAAAAAAAAAAAGTTCAGCAATGTAAAATCTGAAACTGTATATCAATGAACTTTTGGAAAATAAAAGTTGAATGAATTATACAGATCTTTCAAATGTTGACACATTTCATTACAGAACAACAGGCAATCAAATTTTCTAACATCAGCACAATACATGAATAAATTTCATCAGACTTGGAAGTATGTATAAATCATTTCTGCTGCATATGAACAACTGTTTCAAGGAAAAGCAAAGGAGCATTTTAGCTATGAGTTAGCTAGTCACTTTTCTCATAGAACACCAATTTTACTTGAAAAGAATGAAAGAAAGTCTATGATTTTTCAGACTTAGGTGTTTAGTTCACCTGTGAAGAAAACTCAGAAATCCATACACTATATAATTTGAGAACCCTATTCTAATCAAGAGGGCAAAAATATTCCACAATTTCACCAATCATCATAAAAAAAAATTTCTGTTTAAATCCAATAAACAGAAAACCAGCTCCCAACATAAAACATATTTTAAATATAACATCTGGACCACATAAAAAAATCTGAGCAAAGAACCTAAAGTTCTTTTAATTAAATACTTCAATCTTACAAATTCAATTTTACAACCAAGTATATTAAGACCAAAAATGATTTTAAAAAGTTGCAGGCATTTTAAGTAATTGGACTATAAAATGTAGAATGTTAGCCACTCGATAACAATAGCTAGTGCTATTGGGTAGGCATTGTGATAAGTATTTTATGTAGCTAGTACATCTAATCCTCAAAACTGTTTAAGGTTAAATACTACCAATTCTTATCTTCGTGTAAGGAAACTGAAATAAAAGTAGCTTGCCTGAGTTCAGAGGAAGACTGGATAGTAGAGTTGGGATTTAAAACCACCACCCATTCACTAAACTATACTGCATCCTTAAGCAGAGTCAAATGTTCATCCTATGGAAACACATTCATTTGTGGTTGAAGAACATGTCCTTAGTGGGGGAAAGTATAAATATTAAAAAAAGAGACAAACTCACAGTTTTTAGTTCCATCAGGACTTGTTCATCCACTCCATCATCCAAAAAGATGTCTCTCACATCATTAATAACATCTTCAATCACAGATCTATATAATTTAGGCTTTAAAGGAAAAATAAGACTCTTGAAAAAGATTGTTTTCAACAGGTTAAAAGATTCAAATTCAAAAAAATTAAAAAGTCATCTTGTCAACTATCTAAAATTTATTTTAGAATATGTTATGGCCATTCTAATAAACACCATTTGTACTGTACTTGATGACTGCACATTAAGAGAAGTATTAAGACCTGTAATACAATTTATAAACAGAAGGTCCTTACACATATAAGATCCATACATTTTCAGTTATAATTTCCTATTTTGTAGAAAAAATACTTAACATGATATTTTAAAATGGCTTTATGGCTGCTTATATCTGGTTCCTTTTATTCCATTCTGTGTTTTATACCCTGTTATACCATATAACCTTGCCACTAAGTCTTGAGACTTTAGAGAACCTCATGTCCACTCATCTGGTAATAATGGACATTCAAGTTTAAAAATCGTCTCACTTCTATTTTTTGTGACCCAATTTGTAATGCCAAGCTATACCATGAAACTATTCATATAACCACAATTACAGATCTCAAGGTCCCAGAGGAACAGATACACTGATTCTTTTCTCATGATTTCTCTCTTCCTTCTCCTGCCTAGGTGACACTACAGAATAAAATCATGAACATCCCTGCATGTTCAATGTAATTATTACTATTATTATTGCTGGTATTATTTGGAGGGGGGGAGTTGGGTGGAGGAGTTAGTTTCCAGAAGACTAACAAAAGAATGACTAAAATGAAAACAAATGTGAGAGCACTTTACAAGGTTTCTAAAAACCAAAAGGAGTTAGAACAATCAGCCTAAACCTTATCCTATGGGGGGTTAAAAAAAAAAAGAAGTTTGCATTCCAAATGATAAACTAGATATGTCTCTTTATAACTCTTAGACGTTATCAAAATGTTAATGTTAACAAATATTTTTTCATTTAATCCTTTGTCATTATTTGTGTTTGATACCTTGCTTAAGGTTAAAGCTACTGGCTATCAATAAAACCAAGGATTTGCTCTCATACACAAACTTCAAAAAAAAAAAAAATCAAATGCTTTATCAGCATCTCTACCAGCAATACTGTTATCACAGGGAACCTTCTAAGAAAATATATCCTTCCTAACCAAAAATACTGGTTTGTCCTGTACAATGTATCTCAACCATTAAAACCTATTAATTCCTTTTCTTTACAATCAGGACAATTCAAATATCCTTACTGTTTCACTCACTAATATACTTTTTTTATTATGCCAACTCTGCCTCAATAAACTTAATCTGTAAAAAGAGAATCTCTCTAGTCCCTCCTTACTTTTATACATTCTTCTTCTATATAAAGTATATCTAGCTACAGATTATCTTATCCATGGTAATTTAACTACTGAATTACAAATGTACAACTATAGAGTGCTTTCTACCAATGACTTCTCTGGACATCACATAGGCAATGTAATTTTAAATAAGTAGGATAAATCAATTATTTTTCAAGGAAACTACAGACATTTTGATCTGAGATCAGTTATCCTAAAACATTTCTGCTTAGTATTTCAGACACTTATAAATACAAATCTGCTTTTTTCTGGTACTTCCTATTTAATGATTCATTCATGCTCTAAGATTTTGCTTTTGTGTCTTAATGAACCACAACCCGGGCACTTAACCAATTTAGAAGCACTAGGGTTGCAAAAGAGAAACATGTAGTCTGCACAGAGTATATGCATAAAGAATAATTTAGCAGTTGTTTACAATGTGAAAAGTTCTCAAAATATTGATTTTTTCTTAAAAGCATGTGGGTATACAGGCACTGTTTGAAATAAGTAATATCTAATTTATTACTTAAATTTCTTAACTTCACTTGGGCCAAAGTTTTTATTATACAGAAGATAATTTAGGTTGTCCAGATTTTTTAAAAAAGCAAATATTGCAAACTTTAAAACCAGTGACATTATCGAGTGATTAATTAGAGGTTTCCTTTCAAAAGCGTTAATTCTTTTATGCAGTGGTGGAAAGTAAATTAATTTCTATACTGGGTACCAGGTTAATATCCAATGCAATAAAAACACGGCCTACTTAGAATTTAAATTTTTTAAAATGCAGTTTGCCGTCTCTTATTGCATTTCCCCTTACCCATCAGTGTACTGTGGACATGAAATCCTATATGGGCTTTAGCCACTTGCCTATTTCTTTGAAAAGCTTCGTTACTAGGATAATTATAGGAAAACATGAGAAAATATTATAAGATATAGTTGTAACATATTTTCTGAATACTTGGTGAACAGTAAACTCAAACCCATGCAGTCCATTACAGCTACCATTTAATATAGAAAAGCGTTTGAAAAATTTCCGAAAATAAGACACCTTCCAATCCAAGAAAAATGTCATGTGATTTTAAATTTTTTAAAAAATCTAAAAAATGAGCCGGCAGTTGGGCGTACTTCTCTGAACAATGAAAGCAAACCCTAGGTGTTGCAACAAAACAAAAACTTGGGGTTTTTAAGCGGCCCCAGCAGGATGCAAAATTACAGCGTTAGAAAAGGACCTAGAAATAAATAGAGCTCTGCACGCGCCCGCCTCTCGCCTCGGGAGCACGCACCTCCCAGCCCCGCTCTCTGCAGCTCTCACTATTTAAAGCCGGATCTGGTGTTTAAATGGAGAGGCGGTGACGTAGGCCTGAAAAGCACCTTCCCATCCTGGCAGAGTCTATATTAGAGAGCGGCAATGGCTCTATATAAACAGGGCAGCCAAAGGGAGGAGGACCACAAGGCTCAGGGACTGAAAAGCAGGGTAAGCGGCCGCAGCCATGATGGATCAACCCGAGTCGCCAACGGTACTGTGTCGCGCGGCCGCGGGCTTGTCTGCGGCATTTGGGATCGGGCAAAAACGTGTTTTATTGTCATAATAAAATAATTAAGAGTTGGGTGGACTAGTGATCACATTGCGTTGGTGACTGAAAAGGTTATTTATGTGACTGCTTTTTGCAAACCTACGTGATCGCAAGTAACCAAAAAGGGACAAGCGGGAAGAAGTAGGCAAATTCCAAGGCGAAAGCGGGAGACACTTTGACCACTGCAGGCTTTTTTGTTTGTTTCGGTGCTTTTGCTAGTCGAAGATACGATGGGGCTTTTGCTTCCCCTTCGCCATTTTACCCGTGCGGAAGGAACTGAGATAAGTGCTTTTCAACCTTCGTCCTTTTTTTTTTTTTTTAAAAATGGCCCCAGAGATGGTTCCCAAAACACAACCGCCAGAGAAACCCAAAGTAACCCTGAAAGTAACCGTCAATCTTCCACTGCATTAAAGTGGGTCTCGGGGGCTCGCCCAATTCCCTAGGCTCGGCTTTGGATGCGCGGCCGCT